AGGAGCCTGGGTTTCAGTGAGAGGTGGTTCTCAAAAAAAAAAAAAAATGGGGGGATGGCATTCACGCATGTGTATGCACACACACACACACACACACACACACACACACACACACTGGGGTGGGTGGAAGGGGCAGGATTAAAAGCTTAAATATGGGAGTCTTTATGACTTAATTTCTAAGATCAAGGAACAAAGACTAGAGAGAATTGTAATCTGTGTTTAAGCAAACGCTTTTACAGCTAGATGTTACTTTGCTTACTTTGGTTTTTGTTTGTTCATTTTAAGGTTTCTTTTATGCATACGGGTGTTTTGCCTGCGTGGATGTCTGTGTGCCACATGTGTGCCTGGTTTCTGAAGGAGTCCAGAGGAGGGTGTTGGGTGCTCTGGAACTGCAAATGCAGATGGGCGTGAGCCAGCATGTGGGTACCTGGAATCGAACCCAGATCCTCTAGAAGAGCAGCTAGTGCTGTTTCCTAACCCACTGAGCCATCTCTCCACCCCAGTTTGCTGACTTTGAATTACAGCATTTCAGTTCGGAAGCTCATCTTCTTTCCTAAAAATTACCCGTGCCTATTTTGACTTGCAGTGAATTCCATATGCACTCCGGAAATTAAAACCTGCAGTTCTTTTTAAAAAAATATTTATTTTTCATTTGTGGGCATGTGTATGTGCCTGTGTGAGTTTATATATGTTGCATGTACATGAGTATCCATGGAGGCCAGCGGGCATGGGATTCCTTGAAACTGGTGTTACAGGGAGCCCCATGATATGGGTGCTGGGAACCAAACCTAGGTCCTCTGCAAGAGTAGTGAGTGGGCACTCTTAACCTCTGAGCCATCTCTCCAGTCCCTAAAATTTGTAGGTGTGTGTGTGTGTGTGTGTGTGTGTGTGTGTGTGTGTGTGTGTGTTTACATGTGTTACACAGTTGTCGATATAGGTCAGAGGACACATTGCATATTGTGCACTGTCCACCTTAGGCCTTGTGGATTTTGTGGTGCTGTGAATCAAACACGGCCTCACCCATGCCAGGCAAGTGTGCTAGCAATGAGCTATATGCCCGGCCCTCATCTGTTCTTTTGAGATAGTCTCAATGCACAAATCTCATCAAGCTGGCTAGGCTGGCTGTCCGGTGAGCCCCGGGGATCCTTCTCTCTCTTTCCAATGCTGTGATGATATCATCTAGGAGCACACATGGCTTTTTTTCTAATGTGGGTTCTAGGAATCAAACTTGGGTCCTTGCGTTTCTAGAGCAAACACTTTACTAACTGAACCAGCTCCCTGCCCTCCAAATTTTCATTTCTTATCTTTGTTTTTTTCTTGTTGTTATTATATTTTAAGATTTATTTTTATTTTTGTGTATGTGTGTTCGTTTTGTGTGGATATTTGCTTGTGAATATGAGTTCCCAAAGAGGTCAGCAGAGAATGTTAGAGCTAGAGTTATAAACAGTTGGGAGCCGTACAATGTAGGTTCTGGGAACTAAATTCAGGTCCTCTGGAAGAGCAGCTGGTGCTCTTAACCACTGAGCCATCTCTCTGGCCCCTAACCTATTTAGTTTAATATTCAATTATATATATATAAAAACACCCTTTACATTTAGTGTTAATCATAACATAAAAGCTACTTTTGCTAAATAATATAAAAATAGAGTCCTGAGGTGTAAATATGCTCTCTAATAGAGCTACCTTCCCAAAAACTAACTCAAGAAATAAAAAAAAAAAGTTTAACATGGAACTAGAAATTATAATTTATTTTAACCAATATAAGAATAGAGCCACTAACTTCTAGGGCATGACTTGATTTGGAAGCTGAATGTGGGTCAAGTTATTCTCTTGAAACTGAACTCTCAGTGTAGCATTTTTATATTGAAAAATATGATTGAACAACCTATAAAGGTTCTCTTTTTCCTGCCCATAGTTCTTTGGTTACAGCTTACACCATGTTTTTTGTTTTGTTTTGTTTCATGGCGAGGTCTCCTTTATCTCAGTGTCTTAGTCAGTGTTCTATTACTGTGAAAAGACACCATGACCAGGGCAACTCTTATAAGAAAGCACTTATTTGGGGCTCGCTTACAGTCTCAGAGGTTTAGTCCATTGTCATCATGGCAGGGAGCATGGCAGCGTACAGGCAGACATGATGCTGGAGAAGGAGCTGGGAGCTGTAGCCTGACCCATTGGCTGGTCCTGATCCTCAAAGCCCAGCCCCAGTGATACACTTCCTCCAGCAAGGCCACACCTCCTAATCCTTTCAAATGGTGCCACTCCCTGGTGACCAAGCTTTCAGATCTATAAGCCGATGAGGGCCACTCTCTTTCAAACTTATGACATAGCCATGAATGACCTTGAAGTTCCAATCCTTCGGCCATCACCGCCCCAGTGCCAGAATTACTATCCTCCACCATGCCCAGGTTTAATGCAGTGTTGGGGATGCATCCCAGGATTTTATGCACTCTAAACATGCACACTACCAGCTGAGCTACCAAACAGAAATTCTAATATTCTTAACCCTAGCAACTTTGCTAGTTAAGTTCTGTCCTCAGATCTACTCAACTGTTTGGTTAGGCCCAGGGTTTTATTTATTTATTTATATTATTATTATTATTACTTATTGTCATAGTTAGGGTTTCTATTACTGCACTGAAACACCATGACCAAAAAGCAAGTTGGGGAGGAACGCGTTTATTTGGCTTACACTTCCATATCACTGTTCATCACTGAAGGAAGTCAGGACAGGAATTCAAACAGGGCAGGAACCTGGAGGCAGGAGCTGATGCAGAGACCGAGACCACGACCAAGGTGGGGGGGATGCTGCTTACTGGCTTGCTCTCTGTGGCTTGCTCAGCCTGCTCTCTTATAGAACCTAGGATCACCAGCTGAGCCCTACCCGCAATGGACAGGACCGTCCAACATCCACTATTAAGAAAATGCACTACAGCTGGATCTTATAGAGGCAATTTCCCAATGGCAATGCCCTCCTTTCAGACGACTCTAGCTTGTGTCAAGTTGACATAATACTAACCAGGACACTTACTAGTCTTTAAAAGCATAAGAAGAAAAGGAGGTATTCACTCCACCCCAGTGACCCTCAGTCCCAGTGGCAACTGGCTTAAGCTGTTTCATGTAGGATGAAGGCTAGCCATGAATGCTTCCAACTAGGCTGCAAGGTCAAATGTCAGTAATGTTCAGTTTGGAGCCTCTGGCTCACACCTGTACAGATTCAGGATGCTCCATTCCTGTCTCTCTCTCCAAACCCCACCCAGAGAGTCTCAGAACAAAGGAAAGGCACCAAAAAACCCAGTTCTGAATTTGCACCAGCTGCCCAAGTCTCCACCTAAGCACTCACCTTTTGACCATACTTGGGCACAAACCCAGCTTGTGGTGGGCACATCATCACACCTCACCTACAGTCTATAAAACTTTTCTGCCCTGGCCTGGGCTTGAGACTTACTTCTCTGGCCTTGATCACTGAGACTACAGAACCTACCCGGGAGTTGCTTTGCTCAATATACCTGTTGTTATACTTTTTGAATTTGGCTTGATCTGGCTGACTGCATCAGTGAAAGAAACTTACTACTGGGGGAGAGCAGAAAGCCTGTTAAATTTTTGTTTGTTTGTTTGTTTTGTTTTTCAAAACAGGGTTTCACTATGTAACAGCCCTGGCTTTCCTGGAACTCACTCTGTAGGCTGTTGTTTTTAATCTAAGTTATTCTATTGACCAATAAAGACTCGGGAGTCAGATGTTGGGATGAAAACGTGCTAGATCAGAGAAGCCGAGAAGCAACCAGCTGACCCTCCTTTTCAGCTGGAGACCCAGCAAGAGAGCATCTCTCTGTCTGTCCAAAACCAAAAAGGTCCACAAATCTCTAAGCCCCTCCCTTCTCCTTCCTGTGTGCCTCTCTATCCATATCCCTTGGTCCTCCCTACTCTCTATGGCTAGTTCTTGTCAACTAGTCACTGACTCCGCCTTCTGATGCAAGGTTAATTTTATTAACATAGTCTCAGAATTTCACAGTACAGTGAAATATCATGAAATAGTAGACTAGGCTGGCCTCGAACTCACAGAGATCCACCTGCCTCTGCCTCCCAAGTGCTGGGGTTTAAGGCGTGCACCACCACCACCTTCGAAAACCTATTAATTAATCGTGTCCTCTGATAATATGGTTGACTGGCCCATGAGGTCTGTAGGGAAACAAGCCAGACCTTCACACACCCAGTCACCCCAGGAATGTCAAGAATGGATCACACATTGATGGGGTGACAAAGTCATGCCAGGAATGGTGAAGACAGATTTCACACAGCTGACCTCACCCCAGGGATGGTGAGGATGGATCACACAGAGATGAAATTGTTAGGTTCCAAATCGGGGACAAAGAGATAACTGAAGTGCCTATTGATATATCAAAGCTGACACTGGCCACCAGGTTCTCCCAGCCTCCGTCCCTCAGTCCCTCGTTTTTACAGGGTCCTCCTGGCTGGCACGCCCCACCCCCTACCCTAAACTTCTGCAGCCCAGGGACTGGGCTGGGCTTGCCCTTCCTCAGCTTCTCTGGACCCTGTATTTCAGCCATTTGGGCTACACTAGTCTCTTGTCCCAGGCTGCCCTCTGGGTCAGTGGCTTCTCTCTTGCTCTCTCTGCCCCCCACCCTCCTCACGTGGCCTGGTTCAGTCTGGTCATGTTCACTCTGGACTTTTCCCAGATGCCTCTGGCTGTATTTTCCCCTCCATCTATAATAAACCTTCTCCATCCTACCTAGGAGCATCGTGTCCTCCTTTTCTTTCTTTTTTATTCAGAAATCACTCCTGGAATGGTGAGAATGAGTCTCATGCAGATGAGGTCACCCCAGGAACGGTGAGGGTGAATCACATATAGATGAGGTGACCCCAGGGATGGTGAGGATGGATCTCACGTGGATGAAGTTAGCCCAGGAATGGTAAGGAGGCATCACACATAGATGAGGTCACCCCAAGAATGGTGAGGATAGATCACACACAGATGAACTCACCCCGGGAATGATGAGAGTGAGTCCCACATAGAAGCAGCTTAGAGCATTTGCTGAAAATCCCTGTCACTGAGACCAGAGAAAACGGAAAAGGTTAAATACAGAAAAGACCTTCAAAGGTCACCTCCCTCCTGGCATGGAAGAGGAAGCCAAGGTCCCAGAAGGCTGGGTATCTCTCACCAAAGAGCATTTACAGAGAAACCCAGCCCAAGACTGCAGGCGCCTTCCACTGCAGGAACAGAAATGGAAAGGGAAAAAAAAAAGAAAAAAACACTGCTGAGTGAGTCAGGCGAGTGGGGACACGGTCTCCCTTCCCCCTCCCTGGCGGTGGCAGGCAGCCAAGTGGAGCTTGCTGCATATTTAATTTAAACCTTTGTCTGCCCTGGCAAGGACAATGAACAATCTGTTTTACGTAAAAAGTCTTCCCTGAGGAAAGCCTCAGCCTCCAGCTGCGAAACTGATTGATGTTCTTAAAACCCCCCAAGGAGCCTCTGCTGGGATCCGAGGTTGCAGTTTCCAAAAAAAAAAAGAGTTTGAAAAAAGGAAAGCATTCCAAACAAACAAACAAACAACAACAAAAATTTCTCTCCCTTTTATTGTGTTACTCTCAATATGGGAGAATTAGCCTGAACCGAGTGGGAGAAGCATACAAATAAAGTCTATATTTTACCAGTGGATTTCAGATGGGAGGGGCTGGGAAGGCAAGCCGCTGGGGAGACCCCGGAGACTTGTCTAGAAGCTCCCTCGGCGCGACAAGCCTCTCCTTAGATTGCCTGATCCGATCAATGAAGATACCAAAACGTCCTAAAGATGCTCTCAAGCGAAAAGCAGTCGTGTCAAGGAATGCCACCGTCGGAAACCTTCACAAAATGTTTGATGGAGATTGAAAAATCACCTTATTTTGAGAGTTCTGTGGGTTTCCTGGTAGCCTGTTTTCAGAGACCCCTGGTGGGTGGGGAGAGGCGGGGATCACACGTCTTTTTAAGACCAAGGTTTGTAGTATTGCAACCCAGTTTGGGGTCACCTCCAAGTGTTCCTGGACCTTCTGGACTTCTGCTGTGTCCCTGTGACCTTGGCATCAGCTGGTGCCCAATGCTCAAAGGTTAACACCTATGTGTGCCCAGGAAACCCAAAGAGGGCAGAACTACTCCACGGGTTCAGGGTCTACCTCTGCCCCCTCCCACTGCCCCCTCCCACTGCCCCCCGGCCCTGTGTATCAGATTGGAAGGAGACTTGGGTTAAGAGGCAAGGACCTGCCTTCCCCTTCTGGCTCAGGAGCCAAACTTCATCTTGGAGTCAGAACAAAGCCATGGCTGGATCAGACTGAGGAGCTCCAGCCTGTTTTGGGACAGAGCCAGGACCCAGAAACCATTGCCATGAGCCACCAGCTGGCTCCGGTCCCAGGAACATGTGCAGCTGCCGCACAGGCCAGACTGGGCCTGCTCACTGTCACAGTGCCAGCCCCTCCATTAGGCCTCCTGGTCTCTCTGCTCTCACCAGGCTCACACCCAATGCCCTGTGTACTTTGGCACCTTCCTGCCTTGAGGTGTGTCCTGGGATGACTGAGGAGACCTCAGAACCAGCGAGTGACCTACCTCCTCTTATCTTTCTGAGCATTACACGGTTGTTCTGAAACTCCTTGTCGAGGTCAGGGTAGATGGCTCCAGTTCCCTCTGAAGTTCATTGGTCTGATGAAAATGAGGACTGAATCATTTCCCTTAACTCTGTGTGGTCTAATTTAAGTGCCTGTCATTAGTACTTCTAAGGAGAACACAGGCGCCCTAGCCCTGGAAACAGAAATCCCTCTCCATATGCCCTAATGGTGGGGGCAAAAATCAATGAATGGCCACATTCACAGCTGTCTCCAGAAGTGTTTCCTGGTTTCTTGGGCATTAAGCTTCAGTAATAAAGTTAACAGCAGTACGATCATACTGAGGAGAGGTCAAAGAAGGGGAAATCAGTTTTGAAAAAGATCTTAACCATTCCTTTTATATACAGGAGATTATCTCTGAACACACAGCGATTTCTCAGGGTAAGTGTTCCCACTGACCCGCGCTTATATGATCAGAAAGATCTGGCTTTTGCCCCAATTGTACTTTCTCTCAATTTTATGAGTCCCTTTCTCCCTTGAGTATCAGCCCCAGCAATCTGATGGAGTCTAATAACAAGTCACTTGTAAATGATTTTTTTTTACTTGTGTGCATGCATGTGTGGGAGTGTGTGTGTCACATGAACACACACACATGCACGTATGTAGATGAAGGTGCCAGCAGAGGCCGAAGGGTGTTGGATTTCCTGCAGCTGGAAAGTTGCAGGCAGTTGTAGCCACCTGACATGGGTGCTGGGAAATGAACTCCGGTCCTCAGCAAGAGTTCTTAACCACTGAGCCATCTTTCCAGCTCCCCAAGGCTACCTTTAGAATCTCTTATCATCAGGTAAAAGTCCACAGGTATTCAGTAAGCCTTGGTCTTAAGCACACTCCCTGATACAGAATAAAGGGCAGGATGCCACAATGGAGCCAGTGCAATAGAGTTTTCCGGCGGCCGAGGGAGGCCCAGTAGGGCTGAAGCTCCAAGAACAAGAAAGACAAGGTCTCTATGCTCAGGAAACTGGCAATGTAGGAGTGACTGTGGCTATGTTGCTTAACAAGGTGATAAGCACTTGCTAGCAGTGTGAACCAAGTGCTGTGGGAACCCAAAGGAAGCGACGATTAATTAAGATGGGTATGTGGATTAAAGAGCTGGGAATGTTTCCCAGAGAAAGTAACAGTTGAGTTGAGACATCAAAGACGAGCAGGAGACGGGCGGTGGTGGCGCACACCTTTAATTCTCAGCACTCCGGAGGCAGAGGCGGGTGGATCTCTGAGTTCGAGGCCAGCCTGGTCTACAGAGTGAGTTCCAAGACAGCCAGGGCTACACAGAGAAACTCTATCTGAGAAAACAAACAAACAAATGAGCTGTCTAGCTTTGATCAAGGGAGAAAGTTAGTGGGCAGAGTGGTCAGCCAGATGCATTCAGGAAGAGGCAGGATGCAAAAGCCTTCCAGCTACTGAAATGTGATGATACATGGCATGTTTGGAGCACAGCAGGTCCTCTGGAATAGCTGCGGTGCAGGGAACAACATGGGGGTGATATTTATCAGGCTGGATGGAGACTGTCCTGGAAAACAACCCCCCTGGGCCTCATCCTAGAGGCAATGGTCAACCACGTGGAGAATCTTAAGCAGCAGACGAGGTCAAGGGATTTGAGTCAGCGTGTATGACAAACAAAATTGTCCACAAAGGACTCCGGAGGTCACTTGCCTGCACGAACAAGCCAAGTGGAGCAAAGGCTTTCCCTTCTTACAGTGAGAGGGGTTGCCCTAAAGTGAGTCTCCTACAGGACTGCCAGGTTTTCCCCTCCCCAGCTAGAAAAGCCACAGTTCTCCTCAAGTCTCAGTATTCAAATCTCGAGAGCTGGAAAGCTTGCTTTCTGAAACAGCTCCTCAAAAACAATTAACACCTAGCTCACAGACTGTCTAGTAACCTAATGTCTGTCTATCCCCCGTGGTAATAAACTGTTCCTCACACTTTTTCCATAGGGAAAATGATGGAAGGCAGAAACCTGGAACACTAAACGGCCATGTTCTTTCTAGTAGATACTTTGCCTTGGATTAATAAACAAGCTAGATTGTAGAAGACTTCTCTTGTGACATTTGTTTTCTAAATTTCTACAGTGAAGCCTTGAAATCTATCCCATAGGAGGCTGGCAAATGCTTCCTGACTCTGGTACTTTAAAAAAAATACACTGTTTTTTTTATTTTATGTGTATGAGTGTTTTGCCTGAATTTATGTCTGTGCACCACATGTGTGCCTGGTGCTCTCAGAGGCCAGAGGAGGACAGTTGAAGTCACATGGAATCGTGAGCTGCCATGTGGGTCCCTGCAGGTCTCCGGCCCTCCCGTGGTGCTTTTTGACCAAGGTGACCTGTGAAGGCACATACAATGATTGGCCTAAAGTAGAATGGCCTGGGAATGGAACAAGGCATTCCCACTTGTTGTAGGGGACTGGAAACTTGGCTCATCAGTTAAGAATGACTTTGACTACTATTCATAAGGCCCTGGGCTTGACAGGCGGAGGAACACCTCCTAATGTTATCAATACCCCATTTTTCTCTCTGCTCATCTTCACTAGGACCACCTTTATTGGAAAGTTGATTCTCCCGATTTTAGGAAAACTGCCAGTTAAAATCAGGTCTCTAACATTCAGATCTAATGGTATCGGAGAAGACTTCTGAATCAGTTGTCCAACCCATTATCATGAAACTCACCTGAACTGGGTAAGTTTCATTCATGTATCTATGCTCACATCTGTTCCTACATCCATTCAATATGTGTTGAATACCTACTCTACTGACCAGTAGTCTAGGTTTTAGGATTCTGAAATACCATTGAATAACTAATTGAAAACAATTAATACATATCATCAGATGCAGAGGTATAATTCATACAAGTTGAGCATGCAAAAGCAGCTTACACAGCCTTTGTACTGAAGGTAGGCATCACAGACCAGCATTATTGGCGTGGTCCAGTATCTTACAGACACAAGTCTCTGGCGGTGTCCCCATCCTACTGAATCAGACCCTGCAGTTTTACAAAGGTTGACAGAAGAGCCCTGGGAACATTGGACTTGGAGAAGCACTCCAACCAGGTGGGCACAGTAGCACATGCCTGTGATATGGGCCTTTGGGAAGTGGAGGCAGGAGGATCAGGAGGTCAAGGTCATCTTCAGCGGCACAGTGAGTTTGAGACCAGCCTGGGAGACCTGAGACACTGTTTATTAAACAAACAAACCTTTGAGAAGTCTTCATCGGCAAGATAGATAATAAACAACACTGTGATTAGGAATAGACGAGAAATAAGATGGAGAATAAATAATAGATTTAATAATAATATAGTAATTATAATAATAATAATATAGTAATAATAATAAATAATAATAAATAATAGGTTGTGATGGACTGCTCCTCTGACTGAAAGAACTACCAGCCACAGGCAGCCAATGAATGGATCTTTTTTGCCCCAATTTTATTTTATTTTTAATTATGTGTGTGAGTATGTACACATAGTTTCAGGTACTCAAGGAGGCCTCAAGAAGGGCAACAGATCTCCTGGAGCTGGAGGTAAAGGATGTTGTGAGCCATCTGAAACTTGCTGGCAACTGAATTGAAAAAGCA